GGGGGGACTGGATGCGTGCCCTAAACCTTTATTCACCAGCTGTGAGCTCATATTATTTCCTGTGAAGCACAAAGCAGCAATTCTCATTGTCTCTGACCCGTTTCTCCTTTCGGATTATGGGGCCCAGAACGGCTATGTGGCAGTGTTGGCATCTTCCAGAAGGGCAGCGTGAGAACATTTGTGGTTTGGGGGGGGGAGTACTATCTTCATCAGGTACAATGAACATTTCTAGATATTCCCAATAAGACGGTAAATTTTCTTGGGTTCCATTTTAAAGTGATATTAAAGTCAAAAGATTTTAAGCGAATTCAATGCTGATGAAATCACATACAATGGATGCTGATTATTGATGTTTAAAAGTAGGGATGCGCCGATACTAGTATCAGTATCGATGCCGAGCATTTGGGTGAGTACTCAGCCAAATGCTCCGATGCCTAGCCTGATACCCGAACTTCCGGAATCAGGAAGCCGGGCAGCGAGTCATGACACACAGCCTAGCTTTCTGATTGGTCGGGAAGCTGGCCAAACAGGAAGCCGGACGGCGAATCATTAACTGCCCCCCCCTTCCCGGCTTCCTGATTGGCCAGAAAGCCGACTCCATCCTCCCGGCTAATCAGGAAGCCAGGTGCTGTGTAATGACTCACTGCCGCGGCCTCCTGATTGGTCGAAAAGCTGACCAACCAGGAAGCCAGGCGGTGAGTCATTACCCACCCCCCAGCCTCCTGAGTGGCCAGAAAGCCGGTTCCATGCTTCCCTGTCACCTGGTTACGAGGGAGCATGGAAATGGCTTCCCTGCTAATGGAGAAGCCAGGTGATGAGTCATTACACGCCACCAGGCTTCCTTAAAGTGACATTAAAGCCAAATTTTTTTTCCCCTCCCCCCATGTAAATGTTAGCACTTACCTCAAATTATGTCTCTTATTCTGATCTTCCTCTTCTTTCCCCATGTTTTCATGTGTCCCTCCAGCGGTGCGGCGTCACTCCGATCCAGCGCTGACTGCTCTGTCTCTCCGATCCAGCGGTGTCTGCAGGCGGGTGCACGCGTCCATAGACTTACCTTGCGTCTCTGCTCATCTCCCGGCCGAGAATCGGAACTGCGCATGCGCCCGCCCCAAGATCCTTTGCGGCCGTACGAGCAGTTCCTGATTCTCGGCGCGGGAGCGAGCAGCGATAACGAGGTAAGTTTAAAACCACTTCAAGCGTTTTTGTTTTTTTTAAACTTCTTGCCTATATCTACTGCTTGCTAGCAGTAGATATAGGCAAAACAAACCGGATGGTTTAGAACCCCTTTAATGGGACTTCCGGTATTCAGTACCGGCGATTACCAGGAAAAAAAATATCGGTACTTGTACCGAAAAAATAGTATCGGTGCATCCCTATTTAAAAGTTTTAGTTTTCTGCAGAATCAGCAGCTTCTCCAGGACCTTCTCCTTGGCAGTGGCCTGGGGAGTGAGTCCTCATTGAGCGCCTCCCCAAGCAGGACATCATGCTGCATGCACAATGGGTAGGGTCTCCGACGGCAGTAGTTCAGCCAGTGGCGGGCCCCCTCCTGGCCGCGCTCCCGCTGGCACACAGGAACTGTCAGTCTGCCCCTGCTCCTAATGTTTGTATTCTGAGCTGGGTGCAGAATAAAAAAAACCCTGTCCCCCCCATGCTAGGCCCCTGCCTCTCCTCATCTCCATAACATAAAAAGGGAGAATTTCTATAGTCCTTAAAAATAGTTGAAAACAAAGCCACTAATAAGAGTGCAGCACAGGCAGAGAGCACAGGCAGAGAGCACAGGAAGTTCTGGCAGGATCAACAGTTATATTCGGGAGACACACAAAGGTTACTAGCAGTGCACACACAAGGGTGGCACCCTAGGACCCTGCAAAGTAGAGGAGCCACCCTAAAACAGGCTATCAGGGCCAGTGCTCAGGGGACCAGCTGATTCTGTAGGAAACTAAAATTAAAATTTTCATTGTAAGTGAATTATCAGCATTTGAAATAACTTAAAAACCTTCTGACTTCAATATCAATCTAGCGTTACAACTATAGTAAGATGACTGGCAGCGGTAACCCTTACCCTCTGCGGCGTGTGTATAGGAGACAGCGCATCCAGATCTGCCATAGGAAACTCAATTCCTTTCCTCTTCAGCTCTTCATAAATATGCACAACT